AAGCACAGTGACCAATGATGAAGCTGATCTCTTTTAAATCTGTCTTTTTCAGGGAAGTGGCAGCTACAGAACCACTCACCACAATTACTCTTAACTATTGTAATCCAGCACATAATGCCAGCATTAGAGATGGGATGGTGGAGAGCTGCATATTAGTTCTATACGGCAAACTGCCTGTCTCAGCAAAAGGCCCCTCTCAGTCTTCCTAAATCTCTGTGAATTAATTACACCACCGGTGATTTAGGTGCCAACTGCCGCCCGATAGCTTGGTGATAGCCTCAGTGAACAGACTGCTTTACGAGCTAAACATGGGTGGCAGAGATGGAAGAGATAAGGAAGAGTGAGGCAGAAAAAGAGAGAGGGATCTGTTGATGAAACTCATTAATGAGAGGGATGGATTAAGGGTATTACACATACACACCCTATACACGAGCGGCATTCTGATTTACACTCCCCCGAAGTGTAGATTTATATTAAAGCTTCAAATAGCCTGTCTTTGGACGGAAAGGGTTATCCCCACCTCCCCTCCCCACCTTCACAAGCTGGAGGGTGATGACAGAGTTGATTTGAATCCATTTTGGCTCCTCACTCATGTGACTCCACTTCATCCTCCTAGCTGTCCACAGAGTCCTGTCACAAAGATGGAGTTTAGCCTCCACCACAGCTGTTACAACAGATTTTTCCCCCTTTCTTCCTGTGGGCTCTGGTGTCACAGTGGGATCTTTCTTTAGGCTTTGTCTCTATCTGTACGGCTTTCATTCTCTGTCAAGTTTCCCCACTGCTGCTTCATCCGTCCTCAAATAGCACCGCAGTCCTGTAAAGACAAATGACTGGCTAATTAACAATGAAAGATATCGCACGGTATGTTAATAGGACCTTCATCGTGCCTTCCCTGACCTCCTCTCTCTTTCTTTTATTCTCGTCTTTGTGTGCTACACGTAACGCCAAGGGACATCCTGTCACCATGTGAATAGCCGCTGTTCATCGCTGGTTACAGCTGTGCCCTCAGTACCCTCTTTGTATGACCCATATTCTGTCAGCAAAATGCCCTGCCAGTTATTATGTACCCCCTAACTACTCGGCTATCTAATCGCTAAAATATTCAGTAAACTGCAAATTCTGTCACTGTAGTGGTAAAAGCTTAAGGCTACATCATACGCCTAAAAATGACACGTACTGTTTAGATTGTAGTTTGAAGGTTGTAGTTCAACTATGTGCCGCATTATATTCCCATTTAGATTACAAAACAGGACAGACATGCCAAGTTGTTTGTAACTTTAAAGTCTTTTACAAACAAGAACATAGTGCTGCTTACGCTAGGCTAGAATTCAATGATAAATGGACTGTGCGAAGGGAAAGGCCATCACATATAGAAACTAACTCATCATACACTGATGGACAGCATCAGGAGCAATTTGGGGTCAGTATCTTGCTCAAGAACACTTTGACATGCAGCATGAGGCGGCGGGGATTGAACCCCGAAGCTTCTGATTAGTGGACAACCCGCTCTGCCTCCTGTGCCACAGCCACCCCATACAATTATTTTGTACCAGTTCTTTTGATCATGATGGAAATGTCAAAAGTCAAATGTGTTCTTCCCTCTGTACTGCAACTCTGGTAAGTGTGAAGTTTACAGAACAGTGGACAGTTGCTTCCAACTTCCAAAGACAAAAGTAGGTGCTACTATATGGTACAAGGAAGCTAAAAAATGGTAGCCAAGCCTAAAAGGAACGGACACAAGCCAAGTGTTTTTACAGGGGATTCAGTTACATGACTCCATCAAAACACAACCAAATCACAGGCCTGTTATTGGCGGGGCAGCAGACAGACTGTGTTAAATTCTGAAAAGGGCTGAAAACCAGCCTGATCGATAAATGCTCGTCTTCCAGGAGGAGACGTGATTAGACTAACCTGCTGCTTTGCTCCAACTCTCTTTTTTTCCATCAGCAGAGGAAAACATTCACAGACACTTACCATAAACACGCACACACACACACACAAACACACTTACTGTAATCGAATACACCTGGATGCACGTACACAGACACACAGACACACACACACACACTCCCACACACGCCCACATACACCCTAGAGAAAATTGGATGTTTGAGCTGTGCTCCAAGTAGCACTCAGTGAAAGTCAAGTGGTGACTCAGCACAGTGAGGGAGAGAGGGAGAGAGAGAGCAACAGGGTTTAGGTCAAGGTGGGGGGTTGCTGGTGCATAAAAATTATTAAATGATTACTTTGAAGTAAATGTGCCAGAGAGTGATGAAGCTGATAATCTAGCTGTCTATCTTTTTGATCATCATGTATCAACCCTTGAATTACCTGTCCTTCTCTTCTTGTTTGCACATAAAACCCCTTATGATGCCTGTTGTCTCTGATCTGTTGCTCATCTCTGATCTCCAAGGCCACATCATTGTTTTTTCCGAATCTATAATGCAAGTGTTAACATTTTGATTATATTTCTCTGTATTTTCCTCCCCTGAGAGGTAATTCATTCAATGACATTTATTGTGTATTAATGGACACTTAATGGATAATGAATAATAATGAATGCCCACAGTGCAACTCTTCCGTTTCCTTTTCCTCCCTCAACTTGGAGGGGGGGGGGTCTTTTTTTATAATCTCACACACCCACAATCACCCACACACTTACACATTATTCAGGCTTCTTTGTTGTTTTAAGAAGAGCCCAATTGAAAAGCTAGGCCTGTTAAGGGGGGCCAGTTGTAAGTGAGATTCATGACGCATTGCAGACATGAGGTCGTACATCATAGTTTGTGAGGCGGGCGACAGAAGCTGCCATTATTGGATCAGCACTGGTTCATTAAGTCTCCACACGACACAGTCTGCCGCTAACGCCTGTGGACAGAGGGATGAAGGGAGAGGAAAGAGAGAACTGAGAAAGAAAGGATGGACGAAAGCTGAGAGGGAAAGATGCATTGCAAAGAAAGCTAAGAGAGAGACGAAGTACAGAGGAAAGAGTGAGATTGAATGTGAAAATTAAACTCTGGGCCAAAACTCGAAAACAATTTTCTGTAATTGAAGGTAATCTAATGATTTTTTTCAGGCACATAATCTGATGTAGAAATTGGTGAGTAAGATAACTATGCGTTAGGGATAATGGCCTGCAGCTTCCTGTCAATGCTGGCTTGGTCAACATTTCCACAACAACTCAAGCAGCGTATTGGCAGCCCCCTTTGATAGCTCACCGCATCCAAGTTTCAGAGGTTAATTTCCAACATCCATCTGTCCATTTCATTTTCTCTGTAGCTATAATTTCATTTGATCAGACAAAGCATCAGGAACAATAATCTTCGTCTATTCAAATACTTTTAGAATATATACAAAGCTCCAGTGATGGACTAACAGGTGGTGTTCTGTATTGTACCATTACTGCTGAGCTGTGAGCACAAATTGACAAAGAGATGGTGCTATCTGGTGGCCATACTGTGCATCACAGCTTTGTACAAGCAGGATGGATTTTATTTTTGCTTTGGAGAAAGTATCTGTGACTGGTTTCTGTGAAAAGACATCAAGCTAGAAAGGCCCTGCACAGGTGTTTTTAAAAAAAATTTTCAGGACTGTGTGCATCTGAGGTCTAATCAGCCACATAAAACAACTGCATCAATAAACCACTCAAGGGCTTAAATTTAGGATATTTCATAATTTTGAATGCAAAAATTCTGACATGAACCTTGTCTCTTCTGCAATGTGTGTACATTCCATTTCAGCTGAATAAACTGCCTCAGCATTGCAAGGTATTCCTCACCCCACTGACTGAACTTGATTCTTAAAAAACTGCATCAACATAAAGTCACATTCAGATTGTATCAGCACGTGTTCCTCAAAGAAATGAGTCACATATCTCTATCTCAATTAAAATCTTTGCTCCTAATTAGAAGCTTCAATGGGTAGGACAAATTGATGCATCAAGCGTAGAGATATCTCAAATAGGATTTTAATGAATAACAGTATTGATTTGGTGCCCCTGAGTGCAATGAAAACATTAAAAATATATCAAATGTTGGACCAGTGTTTGCTAAGATAATTATGCTAATTGAATATGAGGAATTATTTAAAGTCACTGCAAATTTGCACTAATCAGATGACAGAATTACAGATATATTTGACAAAAGAGGTGATTTCATGGGCAATAACTCTACTTTTAACTGAACTTTTTAACAGGACAAAAAGTGTTGTGACTGAGATTGCAGACAAATTATTAAAAAGAACATGAATAATCATGGTTTATTATAGCAAGACTATAAGACCTGCAATCAAAAGTTATACATTTCCCCAAGTTGGTGATAACTTATGTATTGACAAGAGTGCTCAGAGCACATTGAGCATATATCGGACCACCTTTTAAAAGTGGCCTCTTTAGCTATGTAATGTAAATGGCGAATTACCTGTTTAAGTAGGTCAATAGGCCTACATAAGAATACAAGTAATACTAACTCTATCCAGTTGCAGGATGCACCTGTTAGGGCAACACATCACTTCTTAACATTATTCAAAGGATTTACAATTTATGTGGTGGTTTATGATTTTTACGGTTTTCCTGCTTATTGGTTATCAATTACATTTTGGATTTGCTTATAGAAATTGTTAGAATTTTGGGGGTGATGTCCCGGACCTGTTGCAGAGACTTCTTGGTGTCTTCACTAGTTGCTGATAACCTCAAGGTGATGACAAGGAGTCACCATGCCCACCCAAAATAGTCCTATACATAACTCCCCATAAAACCACAACGTGTAATTTTTGAATTTCTGTTATTGTACAGATTAAACAAACAAGATATAAGGTAATAATGAGTGAGCTTTAGAGGTGCTGGTAGGTGGAATCTATTAGAGTCAATGCAGGCTAGCTGTCCCCCATGTCTTAATGCTAAGCTAAGCTGATCAGCTGAGTGGTATCAATTTTCTCATCAAACTCTGAGTAAAAAAGCAAATAAGTGTATTTTCCCATATGAAATAACGGATCTCAAGCAGTTCGTTTGTAAATTTTTATTACATTTTTTTATTCATAACAGCAAGAATCAAATATAGCAATGCAGGCCCCGTGAAAACATGTGTCATGAACTTCTTTCTCTTAACCATACATATCCATCCAAGTTGGCACAGCACAACAAGGTTATATTAGCTACATTCATGACTTCAAATATTACATGATTTTGTAGATAATAAAACCCCAGCAAACATATTCCTATCAGCTTCAGAAGATACACATTTACCACCCCTATTTCTTTTCAGGCTTCTTCTCACACATTTCATTCTGATGAGATTATATTTTATGGCTTTAGACTGCGACAAACAGAGGTTTTCTCTACAGGTGCTTTTCAGAGGAGGTGGCCGACATTCAAACGTGACACATCCTTTCAGGGGGCCTGGAGCAGTAAAACAAGCAGAAACAAACTGCAGAAGAAGACAGAATACATCATATTAGCACTACAAGCAGAGAAAACAAACAACAAATGAAAAAAAGTTCAGTTTACATTATATCATAAACGTAAGCATGCGTGCTTGTAGGAGATGAGAGATGACAAAGATGATCAGGACAATATTTCAAACTAACGACTTAATGAACAAACCACAAAACAGTATTTCAGTCTGAAATTATTCTTAAATTGTGCCTGATGTTGAACTACATTCCTGTTTGGTCAGTTTCATCTACTAGAAGCACAGCTTACATAAACATAAAGAACATACTTATAGCTATGGTGTTTGTGTTGCATGTATTTTAACTCTCCAAGTGGTAAAACTTTAGTGAGTATATTTTCAGGAATCTTTTTTTTTTTTTAAATAAACCACTATTCTATTTTTGTATTTTTTCTATATATTTTATTCCATTACATTGATAGAATATTGTATACTGTAAATACATCTTTCTGTGTAACATGTTTTCTTATTCAATATTACTGTTGTGATTTTTTTAACGGTATATGTATTTCCTTTTAACATGCATTCCTCTCTGAGTAAAGTAAAGAGACAGGACGTGTTGTGATTGGTTGGGCCTGGGAGGGCGTGGCCATGACACACAGACCTGTCAGTACAGGCAGGTTAGGGGACCAGACAAACCCAGTCAGGCCCTTACGCTGGAGGGCAGTGGACGCCTCCTCCGGAAGGTTACCTGGCAAACTACAAGCTGCTGACAAAAAAGAAGAGCAACACTTGGCCTTTTCTGAAAGGGGTCGGAGAGTGAGAACTCAGTGCCCTTTTGATGCAAGCAATTTTGTTCAGCCTTTCATAAGATTTTTTTGTTATCCTAGCAAAATTCCTTGTCATTATAGACATTATTTTTTTATTCAAAATAAGATCTCAATATACATGATTCTCTCTTTTTTGACTATGTACAGAAGTGCAAAAAAGTCAACCTTTATCACCTTTAACGCCTCGAGATTCCCCACCCCACCCTTGTTGTTTGCAGTTGGCTGAGTAAGAGACGAGTGTGCATACTCAGTCCCCCTCCTCACCACGTTCACCTGACCCCGCCAGCAACGCCCCCGAAAAAGTGATCAAATATGCAGCTTGTTTTCCAACATGGCCCAATTTCCAGGGAGAGTAAAAATATTAAAACAATAGTTACTATTTGAAATGGATACAGTAGAAAATAACATCTTTACTCTAAACATCTAAGAACTAGATTTTTATAATAGTCTTTTTTTTCTTATATGACTAGTTACAAACCTTACAATCATTAAAATATTACTCGGTTATCGGCGATGGTTGCCACAGTGACAACTTAGCCTCTCTGTTCTATTATATCATCACTGTTAGATACTCATATAAAACATCTTTGTTCAAAGAACACAAAAAGACTAGAGAAATGAACAATATGCATACAGTTCAACAATATGCATAACGTAGAAAATATTGAGTTTACAATCATAATCATACTAAAAGTAACATTACATGGAATTTCAGGAAACTGTGCATGAGGAACACACAAACACACACTTTTACCTTATATTCATTATAAGAAAGATAAATATAATAAGCAAAACTAAAAATCTGAACTAAATATCAAAATATCATCCAAACAAAATAAAGTAAAACACTCCTCATCTAAAGAAAAACTACAAGAAAGTTAAGAAAACACTGACAAAAAAAGTGACAATTACATAGTGCTCTGTGTGTATGTGTGTGTGTGTGTGTAGGTCTGTGTGTAGGTGTGTGTGTGAGTGTGTGTGAGTGTTAATATGGCGTGGATTAGGCAACTGGATGGTTCAAAATGGCATGTTGCATTGTGCTGACCCGATGGTACATTCTAAGGCTTTGGATGAGTAATACAATCGTTTATATTCTTGCCACTTTCCCTGTACTATCCACCAATTAAATATGCCTGAAGAACACCCAGAACACAACAAAAACAAAGAGTTCTAGAGATCTACTCTTTACACCCGATCGTTCTTTGGGCACACTAATGCGGCCCATACATTTAAAAAATGTTCTCCCACTAGTCTACCTACAATATCTAGTAACAGTGACACAAAAAAGACTTTGGCTGACTATCTGAAAACAGTTCTCAGGTAGACGTATTAAACAAATATTCTTAAATATGTCAGACTATATATACACACACTACACTGAATCTACTTTGACAATCTGTCTTAAAATATGTGTACAAACATGAAAAACAAATCATGTTATACAAATCACATATCCACCAGTTGCACCGTCGATTTTGACTTCTGTCTCACAGCAGTTTGGATACCAACTGATCGCCCTGTTGTTTCAAAGCTATTCATCGTAACATCTTCATTATTAGGAGAGTCTTTGGTCTCTCGTGCAGGCCAAGACCCCCACATACAACTCATCTGACTTTTAGAGTCAATTGACTAAAAGATCATGGAGAGATCTGTGTCGGAACAGATCCAGTCGTTTCCTGTCTAAACAACTGACACCAATAATAAAGTCTATGAAAACAAAAAAAGCTAAGTAAATCAGGCAATTTGGGGAAGGTAATCTAATCAGCAGTGGTGCTATTGGGAATCACAGGTAATGACAGGTAACAACATTGGACACTACATGCTGTCCAAGAGAGAAAATAGACGTATTAAAGGGAATTGTTGAGTTAAACACTTTGTAACGCTGCTTAAATACCATTCATGTGTTTTGAGATGTATGGCACTTTACAGGGATGCCTGCAAGGTTAAAGACATGTGCTTAAGAGATAGAAAGGTAGGCTACAAAGGTTTTAAAGACACCTCAAAGACATTCAGTTGCTATTTTGCCTCTGAGTGCACTCGTAATTTCCCTTATCACTGGTTTAACAAAATAAAATCATAAACAAAATCATTGTGCATGCATATGTGACACAGTCAGATTTCCGTTCCTTTTACCTCAACTGAAATACAAGGTGTACCTTTGTGTAAACAAATGAACACATTTAGGTCAGAGACCAACAACCAATAAACAAACACAAGTCATGATTCTTGGTCAATGGATGTACCAATCCAGCCGTTTTTTTGATGACCGCTCCACACATTTACCTCATGTTAACATTCAAAGTGTGTCCGGTGAATAAAGGTAAGTTGCCTCTAGAGAACGAGGCAGTCTTTAATGCAAATTATGTTCTTTTCTGTTGTTGTGTAATAGTGTGCATGAAGTACACATGAAAACAATCCTAATAATCTTTGCCTCATATGTTAACATGCAGATTTATTCCAAACCAATTGAGATTTGGTTTTCCGTTTTGCTCTTGATGTTACAGGCATGAAGGGTGACCGCTAATCTTGGACTCGACACCAGCACACTCCAGTTCCATCTGGAAAGAAGGTTGCAAAACACAGCAAATCAGATGTGAATGATCGGGATTGGATGAGTCTATGAAACTCTGAATTACATTTAGTCTAATTAAAATTGTTAATTAATTCTCACTTTCTACAATACAATTCTACACATTAAAGCTAGGGTATGGTTAAGGTTTGGGAAAGATTGTGGTTATGGCAAATAAACTACTGTATGTTTAAAATATGGTTGGGCAACTAAAAAAAGAAAGCAGACTTTATTGTCAGCATCTTAACCACTGAGCTGCAGTGCCCCCCTTGGTTGCAGTTGAATAAAAAGGTGAGCAACAGGATAATTGCAGATCTGTGAGTGGACACAAACTTGGGTCTCCAGCATGAAAGCCAGATGTGGCACATGCTGATCCACCACCCTAACCTCTATACCCTTACTGTCTGCCTCACCAGATAAAGGGTACAGTACTTCCTGCATTGGCACTGAATGTTGGACAAAAAATAATAATAAATCTGAGGCGCAGAACTGTCCAACATGGGTGTAATTCCTTTGGCTACTGAAAAAGCAAATAATGTGTTTTTAGTGTTGCCTTTTATAATGTTACATAATCAATCAACTTCATATTTTACTCTTGCAAGTTGTGCAGATAACATAACCACATCAGTGGGGAGCAAGGGATTCTGACTGAGTATTGATGGTGCATGACTGCAAAAACTGCCACAGTGGCCAAGATATACAGTATTATCATCCTAATTCGCCTCTCTTTTTTAAAAGAATAGTTCAACATTTTGAGAAATATACTCTCATTCGCTATTCCTCCACTACAGGGAATCATTGGCCTAAATCTAACCAGATTTTTGGTCAGAGCCAGGTTAGCTGTGTCCCCATGTTTATGCTAAGCTTAGCTAACCAATTGCTGCCTTTACAGTAGCTGTATATTTAGCATCTAAGTTCCAAAGTTCAAAGTTGTATCCAATTTGTACATTACTTAAATAAAGTAGGTGGGTGCAAAATAATAATAATAATAAT